GTCTGTACCTGTTTGGTGTCAGTAGATAGGTATTTTGTCTTTGCAGAGTTTATAACCTTTGCTTTGTAGTATTTTCTGCTATTGTAATTCTGTTATTCCATTTTTAAAGTTTCATTATAGTATGTAATACCTTTCCTCTCTCCCCCCTTCCTGATTTGGGAAGTGTATCTCTGTATTTCTGCAGATTAGATTACTGCCCTAGTGTTAATCAGTAGCATTAGACAAACTCAGTTTTAAATGCATCCCATAGTATTTTTGCTCTGGCCAGAATCCTTACTGTGGTGGGCATATTCAGTAGCTCAGGATCTGATTGATACTCAGTGCAGTGCAAGCCATAATATCCATCAAAAGAATGTAATGGGCAATTTGATAGTTACCCCCTTCAGCTGTATAATTTTAGTCTGTTGTTGCAAATTTGTCAAATTCCTTAGAATCCATCAGAAATCTTACAGGGAGAAAAGAGACTAGAGAAAGTTGGAGACACCAGCTTCCTTTTCAGTTGAATTCAGCCACTGCAATAGTTGTCTTTGATAAGAGATTTTGTGAAAGGAATTGATGTATTTGTCAGCCCACTGCAAAGAGGAAGGCTCTTTTTTTGAGCCTTACTAAGATGAAAACAGGCATTTTAGAGACCGATTAACAAGCAAAGACCACCCATCCCTACTGCAAGGGCAGGTTTGGAAGCTTCTTCAGCTACCCAGTTTCAGTCTACCTGCCATAGGTCTGTCAGAGCTTAACTAGCTCATACTTAAGGTTTTAGTTCCGTTTATTTTCCAAAATTCAGTCAGTGCTCTAAGAATAAGAATTGTGTTACAAAGTGTATGAACTTCCTTTCATGCACAAAAAAGCTGAATTTCTGTCTTGAATCCAGTCTGGAACTCAGTGGAGCCTGCAGCTGGCAATTTTTGTAATAAATAACATAGCCTCTTCCTGAAAAGTAGCTTTTTTAGCAGCACATTTCAGCATTTATGCATTTAGTAATATGAAGTTTAATATAAACAAATGCTTATAAAATTCAGGTAGCATTATATTTGTGTAATCCATATAAGCTTTGCCTTGCAGTACCCTAGTTTTAGCAGCCCTTTCCACATGGGGTTAGAAGAATGCAGCAGTACTGTTTGCAAGTTTGAAATAGAACAGGCTGTCTCTGTTTCACATTGGCTTCTCAATCCATTTTGAGTTTTGTTTTGGTTGGTTGGTGGTTTTTTTGCCTAACCAAAGAACAGATGCTGAATTTGGATAGCACGCCTGATATATTTACTCCAAAGTATTCGAAACTTGGCAAGATCATGAGGGACATAACTTTTATATTATTTCATTGCTTGAGAACTTTGTATGGTAAATAAAAGCTGTATGAATCTGTGAGAGATTAGTTGCATGTAGGTGACAGGTAAAACCCACAATACTTATGCTTCTTGTTCTGCTTCTTGAGCATTTCTGCCTATCAGGATGTATATTTTAACTTACTGAGATTTTAGATTATTCCCAACAGTGGGAATTGGATGAGTACCAGTAGCAGAGCTCTGAAGAGAGTTTCCAAGCATGGAAAATTGGAAAGTGGCAGAGCTTGTGCATGGACGGAGGAGTAAAAGGCAGTGAATGTACACCTTCCTTATTAGCACAGGGATTGAGCTGGTGATCTTTCTTTGTGCAAGAGAACCAGGCAACTCGAATAGTAGTTTCACAAACATTCCATACCAGCATCAGTTAGTACCTCCACTTCAAGATGCAGTCCCACCTTTTGCTAATGTTGGGCTATTCTCCTGTCCCAGTACCCCACTGGAGGAACTCTTCTCATGATTTAACATTGAAGAGATACTGGAGTTACTGCTTTGTACTTTACAATTATGATAGTGTGAAGCTTTGCTCCAAGAAACATATTTGCTTGTATATTTGGTACATTGTGTTACGCATTTTATATTATCATCATAAACTTTACTGTGATATGAGCAGGAAGGAAAGAATTACAGAGGAGGATAAATTGATATACGAAGTCTTACAGAAAGCTGTTATAACTGAGAGAGTAATTTCCACTATAATTTCCGGTACATTGTGCAGGATTATGCAACTATTTTGGCAGTGCATCAGTTCTGACTTCTCTATATTTCACTATTCATGAAATATTTTCTAAGGTGCACATTTTCGTATCTTCTTTTGGAATACATTTGATTACGGTTGCATTTGACACTATGCCCTTGCTATAGATTGCCTCTCAGCAAGAAATGTCCCAGTGCGTTTTCATTGCTCAGGTCACTAAAATACCAAATGAAAATCAGCTTTAGAAAGCAGAAGTCCTTCAAATACATTGCCCATTGTGGTGGGGTCCCAAGGCTGCCAGGACTTTGACAGGGTGTAGTTCTACCTTTTCCTGAAAGGAGAATGTTTGCATTAAAAGATACAAAAGGCTTCTGTTTCTTACAGTAAAGTTTTATTAGACCATAAACATACAGCAGTATGACTGTCTACAAAGAGAACTCAGTTCTGCTGAATGTGACAGATGTAAATTTAAAAGATCTGGAAATAAGTGAGACCTAGCCTTTCTTTGTGTTTTCATACGATGGCTTCTTTCTTCAGCCTTGTTTGTTACTCCAGCTGCAGTTAGGGGTTTTGTGCATCTTTCCTGCTGTCTTCTAGACTCCTAGGGAAATAAACCCCTTTCTTCAGACACTGTTCTTCAGACACTTGGCCTTCAGATTTGCTCCTTCCATGAGCAATTTCTTCTGCTTTTCAAGAACTTCCCACTTTACTCTCTAACATCAGACTTCCTGCTTGTAGCTGTCTTTGTCTGGTCTTCCCACCTGCTAGGGCATTGAGCATGTAGAGCAGGCACTTGTTATTCTCAGAGGTGGATTTCCCCCCCTGACACACACACACTTTCCAGAGGGTCACATGTGACCCCAGGTTCAGCACCCAGACCAAGCTATACAGGCAGCCCTTCTGATCAGCTTTCTAAAACAGTATATTGTTTTACATGCTTTCTAAAATGGTATATTGTGTTTGCAGAGAAAGCAGTGGAGAAACAAACAACTGAAGACTTCAGCCTAGAACTTCTGTTGCTTTTGTTTTGGATGGGGAAAAACGAATAGTTCCCTGGAAAAAAATAGCTGTTAAAAAATAATAGGTGGTTGTAACGCAAGATTTTCTGCCTCTGGAGTTTCAGTCTAGAAGATACGGCTGCTAGTGCTTTGTTCATAAATAGGAATGTTTCATTCATTTTTTTTTCTGCATGTTACAGAAAGGTATCCACGAGTGGAACTTCAGTGCTGCTTCTATCAGGGGAGTAAGGTAAGTTGTTTCCCTTTCAGATTTTGAAATGAAACGAGTGATTGAATGAGTATTGTATTAAGCTGCTACTGTGGACCTTGGTGGAGCTAACGGATGCAGAACTGCAGCAGAGTATCGCACATACTTTCACAGGTGTCCTGCACTAAGTGAAGCCCCAGGAGTCATATTCCAGATTCAGAAACCACCACTTGCAGAGTTCATTATGTAAAACCTAGCAAACATAGCCTCTTGAATTAAAGAACTATATTTCCTAAAAGTTGGTCATTTCTTTATGCTAACTAAAATAACTGCTAGTGTTTTATGTAATTTTGTCTGAGTTCTGTCGCAGTCAGGAACTGCAAGCATAGGCAGGTGCAGTAAGCTGGGAATTAATGTGTGGATGCAGAGCCAGGAGGATATGAGGAACTGACAAGATCAGGGTGTTTTAGCAATATTCTAATTGCTTACTTGTTGTTGAGGTTTGGTGTGAAAATGCACATTTGGGTTTTTTTTTGTTTGTTTGTTTCTGTGTCTGTTTATGGGTATGGCAGCAAAACTTTTTCAGAGAAGGCCCATAAGGAGAGGAGTCTGTCAATGCACAGTAGTAGCATGTATCCCAAGGGTCCATGTAGAGTAGGTTAACATTGTTTAGTAAATCATGAGATCAAGAATGATATGTGCAAGATTGGCTTAACTGAATTAGAATAGAACAATGTTCAAGGCCACCTTCCTTTTTATCAGCACAGTTCTCTCTTTGGGACAGGACTTGTGAGGTAGTGACTGTCGTGGTTTAAAACCAGGCAGAGGGCTCATTCACTCACTCTCCCCCTTCTTTCCTTCCCCCTACTCCCGGAGGGACGGAGAGGAGAATCGAAAAGAATGCAACTCCCACGGGTTGAGATAAGAACAGTTTAGTAACTAAGGTATAACACAAATCACTACTGCTACCACCAATAATAATAATAATGATAAAGGAAATAACAAGGGAAGAGAATACAACACCTCACCACCAGCCGACCGATAACTCGCCCCCCCAGCCCGACCAAGCACCAACCGATACCTCCTCCAACCCTGCAGTCTACCAGCCCTTCTGGGTAACTCTCAGTTACATCCTGGGCATGACGTGCTGTGGTATGGAATACCTCTTTGGCTAGCTTGGGTCAGGTGTCCTGCCTCTGCTTCCTCCCGGCTTCCCCTCCTCCCTGGCAGAGCATGGGGCTCACAAAGTCCTTGGCCAAACCAAAACATTGCTATCAGCTCTGTTCCCAGGCTGAAAGTCAAAACACAGCACTGCACCAGCTACCAAGAAGGGGAAAAATGACTGCTACTGCTGAACCCAGGACAGTGACGAAGGAGGAAATTTTGCCATCTACTTGCTTGATTTCCGCAAAATGTTTTCTGTCTGCTAGGGAGACTTCTTCTAGGGAAAATTCTTAACTGGACTGTGTGCCATATTGTCAATAGAGAACAGCCAAATCCGAGCTAATGGGTCTGCTCTGCTAGCCCACATTGAACCCTGTTTGTCAGGGTCCAGCTGTGCAATCTGAAAGTAAGAAAGTAGTGTTCCAGCACTGCTGTGACCTGTTCTGGATCAATTCTTCATTGTAGTCTCTTTCTCTTTTTTTTTTCCCTAAGATTTATCTATACTTTGTCATCCTGCAACTTTCCACTTTGGATTTTGGTTTTAGTGTAATTAAAAAAAGAAAGAAGTCCAGAAATCTCACATTTTTTTAATAGTTATTGCTCTGTTCTAATAATAACTGTTCCGTGCACACAAGGCTGTTGCTATGTCTGCAGGACGTTTTTGCACAGATGGATGATTCTTTTTCTTTCCAAAAAGTAACTTAAAAAAATAAACTATCAATAGGCACAGAAATTCAGTCCTGTGAGATTCAGCTTATTTTAGGCATAAATTGCAATGATACTTAGTTCAGTCTGGTTTGGGTTTTGGTTACAGTATGTTTTTGTGTGCTTCTAAAAAAAGACAAAAAATCCCCAACTATTTATTGTCCTTTTTGGGTTTTTTTTTTTGCTTCCCTGACCCCTTATTAAACCTTGTGTGGTCAGTACTGTTTCTGGTGTACACTACTGCATTTGTTATTTAAACTGTCAGTTTAAACTTTGTCAATTGAATTTCAAGTCTGTTCATCAGGACAGATGTCAAAAACAACTTGAAAGACTTGAGAGTGAGCCAGGAGTCACTGTGAATTCTTAGAAAACTCTCTGGCTGTCTCCATGAGGAGCTGCAGGGGGAAGTCTTTATCTTATGCAAGTATAAAACTGAATAAGACTTTTTCTTCTTTTTCTTCTTCCAAATATTTGCAAGTTTCTGAACACTTAATTTTTCAGTTTTTCACGGTTTTTCCTACTTTCATGAAGACAAGTATCCTTTGGAGTGGGACAGCCTTCAGAACCAGGCCTGCTTCTAATATTTTCGTATCAAGACTCCTTTTGGCTCCTTTGAAGCTCCTAGACTTAAAGTGGTCTAGGAAGGGGAGTTCTCATCTTTAGGAGGATTCTCAACTTTTCTAGACTAGTAAGAGCCAGATTTATAAGTGCAGCCTTAATGTTCAATGCAGGTCTTTGTAGATCTTGAAGGCTTTTCCAACAAAAGCCTCCATAAATATTTACTATATTACATAAGGAGAGAACAGATGTGAAGAGACGTCTAGCATTGAAATGGCTAATGCTTTTGGTAAATACGTCAAGGAAGTGACCGGGGGATCATTTTTTCTGTGTGCTGTGTAACACAGCACTAGGGCTTCTAGGCTTCACTAAACCAAAACCAGTATGAATATATAAAGATGATACTATAATGAGCCAAAGAATGAGAACACATATCAAAGTGTGTGCAAATCAAGAGAAAGCTGGTAATGCAGACCCAGAGAAGCCCAAATATTAAGAACATGTAATAATAGAAATATCCTGGCTTGCTGTGGTCTAGTTTCTAGTAATGCAGGCAGTCATGCAATTTAGTCTTGTTCACAAACACAACTTCCCTCTTAACACCAAACAGGTTTATTGTACCAGCGTTTAAATTTCCCAGATTGCTGGTGCAATCAGTGCCTTATTTAATGAGTAATATTGTTGAGCTCTCAAGAATTGCAAAGGGACTTGGAAAGCATGTAGTGCACTCTGAGCTGCACAGGGCTAAATCACACCCCCTGTGCAGGGAGTCATAGTAATTGGGTTTAGCTTAATAAACTCATTGATTAGTGATTTGTGTACTGATGTAAGTAACTCTGTTTTTGTCATATGCTTTGTTGACCTCTTAAACACAAATGTTTATGATTGAATCAGGCCAAAAAATATTGTTAATCTTAAACGCTTTATCAGAGTTTTTTGAACATGGCTGCTACCCTAAAGTGATTTGCATCTTAGGTTATCCAGAAAAGTTACTAGTGTTCTGCAAAGCTGACATCATACAAGCAAAAAGATACCAGCTTTATTTTTCCAATTTAAAAATAAAAAATAAAGTATCAGGCTGAAGTTGCTAGGCTACAAGTTGGCTTTTTTGCAGTGTTTGGGACAAGCCCTGGATTATGAAATAACTGCTACTTGTGGTGTTTCTGTGGGAGAGTGCCTCCAGAGGTCATGCTGATGAATGTAGTGTTAGAAGCAGTGAAAAAGTTGTATTCAGATCTGCACCCAATTTTCTTTGCAGCTTAAGAATTGATAACAAGGATGTTTATCTTCCATCCCAAGTTCTTGGAGCTTGGAGTCTCATCAGACTGCTTAATTGTGACAGTGGGAGGTGTCTGTACCGCTACACTTCCAGAAAACAGGCCAAAGTTTCACTGAGCTGCTTTTCTGTGGTTGCTGCCAATGCTCAGCTGTTTTATCTGCTGCTTCATCTGCAAGTTAAAGCCAGCCATAGTTACAGCATTTGCAGTATTTCACCTTCTCTGGATGCACACGAGCTGGGCACAAGCCATGCTCCATCGTGCTTCCCTGTTTGTCTTCAGAGTTTCACAAGCACAGGACCAGCTCTGCTGTTACAGAAATCAGTGGGTATTGTGTGTGCTTGGCAACTGTCAAAATGAGGCATTTCCTGAGCAAATTATCCTGTCTCTTTTTATAACTTGGTATTTTTTATTCTTCCTTTTGTTTTTTTTTTTTCTTTCCAGGGAGGAAAGCAGCATTTAAGCACTGTAAACATTCACTTAAAGGCCTTAAATATTTGTGAATTTGCCTGCCCTCTGTGTACACTCCACATTCTTACCCTTTTATTCACTGCTGTGTTAGTCAGTGGCTTCTGTGCATGTCAGGTTTAAACTGACAGTGTGTTCAGTAAGATGTTCAAACTCACATGAGACTCAATTGAAATGAATGAGTAATTCTGTTAATATCAGTTACTCCATATCTGGAGAGTTTACCTGTCTGCTTTAAAATGTTGAATTAAAAGCTAATGTATAAACTGGGGACTGTGACTGTCTTCCCAGATGTGTACGTTACTTAGCACTTCTGAATTTTTCCTAACATAAGAATGAGTCATCACCCCCAAAGGCAAATATTCTTATAATTAAGCTTTCTCTTCTCATAAGCAGCTTTATGAAAGGCAGGCCTCCCAGCTTGTCTGAAGAGCCATTTATCAAAACTTACATCATAACAGGAAGCAAGGATCAGACAACCACAGACACCTATTAAAGGTGGAAAATTACAAGTATTTCCCGATACTGAAAGAAAAAAACGTGATCAAATAATCAGTCCTTTGGCACAATGGAGAATACCATTCTACTCTATTGTGCTATAAATTAAGTAAAATCATGGTGGCTATCTTGATCCAGATAAGAGATTGATTTCACTTGGACTGTGGATTTTTTTTCCCATGTCATAAGAATGTTAAGGAGACTTAATTTGTCTTCATTTCTCAAATACTTCAATATATATTATTGTAACACCTTAGCCATCTTGGTTTTTTATATTTTCTAATATGGTAACAATAAATTACACTGCATAAGTTTGACACCTGGCACTCAACATGTGACAAAGTTACAAGATTCAAATAATGCTTAATATTTTACATAAGGAGCACAGTAACAACGTGCATATGTAACAGTTCTGGTGAATGAATATCTTTGTAAGTGCTGCAGCAGCCTACAGTTAAAGCACTGTCAACTGTACCAGAGTTTGCACTCCTGCTCTTCTGTTGAGACATCTATGCATCCGTGAGAAAATGGCATGCATATTTCCTCATTATCTTTGTTCTGTTACAGCAAAGAAAGTCAAAACTGAAGAAAATCATGAGTGGGCAAGGGCCATAAAGTCATTCACCTCATTTATTGATGCTGATTTAATTTTAAAGTTTTGGTACATTGATACATACTATCAGTGTACCAGTTCACAAGGAACTGATGGGAAATTTTTGTGTTCAGGATTGAGCTGTGGCTGATTCCTAAAGCAGGACGAGCTCATGATTTGAGGTTGAAATCCAGCTTTCTAACATGATCCCAAAACCATGTTCCATCTTGGCTGCAGGAGTGGAATTTGAGGGCCTTACCTAAATGCACTTAAGACAAAAATGACTCAGGTCAATGGAAGTAATCCTATTAACTTCTTTGCTCCTACTCATTCTTGTGCAATGTGTGGACTGTGGGGGAAGCTGAATGATAGCAAGCAACAAAATGAGAACTTTGGAGGACACAAGAGTATAATTTTACAATAAAGAAGAGTTTCTTAGGTTTAATTTAGTGATTTCACATATTAAATGTATTGATCTGTGTGGTTTGACATAGCTGGTAGGAGTTCAGATGTATTTTTCTAATAACATGTTCTTTTGGCTGTTCTTTCAGCATTTCGAAGTTTGAAGAACGATGCTGTTTCCTTTATGTGCTGCACAACTCAGATGACTTTCAAATCTATTTCTGCACAGAACTTCATTGCAGAAGGTGTGCCATTTGTTATTTCAAAAAACCCACCATGGCCTTTGTTGGAGTAGATGCACAAAAACACACACAGGAGGGACTGACTGTTTCAGAGCTGTGGTGATCATCTTTCAAGTGAAAGCTTAGTACTGCAGCATCCTGGAGATGTGAGGTTTAGAGGGTCAAGGTGCAAGCTCAGACAAACATTAGAAACTAATATGATTACAAATTTAATTATTTTTTAACATGCTTTTGGGGTTATTTTTCTGACATTTGTTGTATTAACTCTTAGTACAAGTGTTCGTTGCCGCCAATCCGACAAAGCATCCTAAACTTCAAATGGACTTTCTGAAGTGGGAACATTTGGGATAAAATTTATGGTCTGGTCAAAATTTCTCCTTTACTTTAACTAAAATTTTATTTATGAATATAATCACACACTTTATTTCCTTTATGTTAGCAGCATGTTCATGTAAGTAAGATTGTACCAGTATCCCTACAGGAAACTTGGCAAAGGTTTGTTGCACAAAATAAGGTGTGTCTCAGTTTTTCTATGCTGTGTTTCTGCTCCATAAGCTTGAGGGCTGTGGTCTTGAATTGATCTAGAAGGCATTTCAGAGGAAATTTCTTGTCTTTTTGTGCTAAAAAAACAGATCAGCTTTGCCAAATATCACTGCAGTACTCCATGTTAACAGCTGTGGCCACCTCCAAGCCCAATCTTGAGCTTATTCTCTCATTCATTCTAGTTCATATAGGTTATTTTACCATGTTCACTCCCCTCCATATCTGAGCATTTCTTAGAAGCCAAGTGAGCAATACCTTAGCATGACATATACTTGCATTCTTTCGAAGGGGTAGAAGTCATATGTGACAGGTTGGGTTCTTTTTTTATGGGAAGTTGTAAAATAAACCCCCTTTTCATTTAAACAAAAACTCGAAGCTAGCCTTCCTGCACTACAAAAACTTCTCCCAGTGTAGGCAAGATTTCTAGGCCTTTGTCAAGATAATTCAGTCTTTTTGTTGGACATAAAGAAATGCTGGTATAGGATGAGAATTTCACTGGATACATAGATTTTGAAATCTGAATTCCGTTAATTTCAGACATCAAACTTGCCAACAAACTTTTCCACTGAGTTTATACTTACTGTACTCAAGTCCTCTTTTGATTCTTCCATTACTTGAAAGAGAAGCATTCCTTTTGTCCACATACTGTCTCAGGTGTGTATTTACCTTTTTTTTTTTCCTTTCCTTTTTACAGGTTTTTTGACATGGTGAACAGTATCACTGAAGAACTAGGGAAGACTACAGAGGAAGGGGAATGTGATGGAGACTCTCTAGAGGTATGTTCTCCTTCCCCTCCACTTCCTAATGTACTAAGAATTTGGGGCTTCTAGTGTAGCATTTCACTGAAGGGAGTAAATTACTGTTCTCTGGAAGAAGTTAGTTAAGTTATTGTTTTCAAAATTTTATACTGTACTGTTTATAAATTAGTCTTTTTAATGATCTTCATGTAGTTTTTATAACCAGCATAGCTAAATCTCTTGCATTTCAGGTAGCATACTCACTTAAGAAGCTACTCAGATCTGGAATTCTCCAGTCATGCTTATTGCAGAGCGACTCTTGTAACAGTTACTTCAGAGTGTAATCATAGGCAGTATTAGCATCTGTTTAAATTTTAAAGACTGTTTGTTGTCTGTTTCATGCACCACTGGAATCGTGTGCACTTACATTATTGGCAGATTGTCTGCACAAGTAAGGATATAATTGTGGTAAAGGAAGGCTTGTCCCTGCTAGTTGCCATCTGTAGGCAAACCTTGCAATGAACAGCAAACTCAAATGAGGTGATTATGTTGGTGCTGCTGGGAGCCGGTTTCATACCTTTAGGCCACTAACTCACCCTGAAGCTCAGCATGCCCTGCTTCTGCTGGCACCCCTCTTAGCTAAGTTATAGCTTGCTGTCACACTCTGTATTCTCACTTTGGGTTTCTGTCTGAACATACATGCAATTGAAAAGTGAGTACAGGGCCACTGGGTGCAATGCAGTACTTAGGTTGTTTAGGCTTTCTTTCAGGCAGGGAACAGGATAGAATATCTAAGCCCATGTCTTATCACATGAAAATCTGGTGTCCCAGAATTCTAGAGGCATGCAGTCAGTGCCACATAAATAATATAGACAGCCTTTTGTCCCAGTTTTGATGTTGGCATTTTATAATACATCTGAAATTGGAGATGGGACAGACTGTGGTGACCTATGGGATAGAAAAATATCCTACAATGAGAACATTAGGATGCCTAATTTGTTTATCTTAGCAAAAAGAAAAGCAGTGTGTGAGTTGATTACAATGGGTAAGTATTTTTACAGGAAAATTATGATGTGCTAATAGCCTTTTTTACTCTATTGAAGAAAAATGTAATTAAACAGTGACACCAAAGAAATCTGAATTAAGAATATGACTTCACCATGAGAGTAATTAATTTTTGAAACAAAGTAATGAAAGAAGTAGTGGATTCTTTCTAATAAAAGATAGCAGTCTTGATTAGGAGGAAAATAAAAACTATATAGGCATAAACTACTGGGTTTAGCATGAGAGGAGTTAGTGTGTGAAATTACATGTCTGTGTTACACAAGAGGCCAGGTGAGATAATTGCATGTCTGTGTTACAAGAGGCCAGGTCTATCTAATGACCATTTCTGGACTGGCCTTAAAACTCTTTGAAATTCAAATTCAGCCGAAACCATGCTTAATGCACTGCAATCCTGACTAACCTCCGTTGGCACACTCTGCTGGCTGACCTGGCACTGGCAAAATTGAGGTTATGCTGGCTTTGGAAGATGTGGTCCGGTCAGGAGAGCATTTGGAATTAATTAGGTGTATCCTGCCTTGCTTTTTATGTCAGTCGGGGAGCCGAGGCTCTGTTTGGCGCAGAGTGCCCTCTGTCGTCTTGTTTTCCCAGCACCTGCCAGCAGAATTGCAGGTACTGTTGAAGACA